CGCCGAGAAACCCGTTGACATTCCCAACTGCTCTCTAATTAGTCATGTTTTGCTTTGTTGATGTTCATGTTCTTCTAGACCCATAGCACAACATAATCTGCTAGTCACGCTTCTTCAATTCATACATCATCGAGCAAATCGATAGAGTGGATTGTGAACTCCTATAAGATGTTTTTGAACTTGTTGGAGCGTTTTCCTTCGTCACCTGAGCATGAAACGCGGAACTTTTTTGCCGCTGTGCATCCTGCCATCGTTGTCAAATGAAACCCTTTCTCTTGAAATGGTTTAAAAGACCAATGATGATTGATGAGTATAACAAATGCTATCTCCCTGTGATCTATAAGGTTCTCTTTTCCCTGAGCTCATAGAGCTTTATAAGTAGCTTGCAAAAGCAAAACTAAGCCTCACCTCACATTTCTTGAGTGAGTCATCCAAGTCATTTGTCGTAATGCGCCTAAACCCGTTAACCGTGGTGGCGATTTTTATTTTCCTCTAAACCCCTTTTCTTTTTTTCTACTTTATCCTTTTTCATTTCAAACTCGAGAAAAGGTCTCGAAAAAGGACAAACTGAAACTGAAACTTTTTTTATAAATTTTTTAATGTTGGTGCTTTAAAAAAACGAAGTACTGCTTTTTGGAGTGATAGTGAAGTAACCGCTATAGCTTTTATGATTTATCTAACGCAGGCATTTCAATCAATACAGAGGCAAGTTAAATATTTTTTTCAATCAAAATTTTTTTTCAGCTCCTAGAAACCTAAGATTTCGCCCGTACATACGCCATTACTGCAGTCTATCTCTCATGGCACAGAAATAGCTTGGCGATCTTTCGGTAGGCACTGTATTTATCGAAAGTCGGGCTTTCTAACTAGTATTTCTATCGTTTCGCAGACTTTGTTTGCCAAGTACTTTTTCACTCAACATCTCATATTTCACTGAAGAGATTTCCTCATCTTGTCCAGAAAATCTGTTCGACAGCGAAGTGCTACTGCTGAAAACATTGACACATCCCTTAGCTTGTCAATTTTCGAAGTTTTGCAATTATTTTAATTTTTTTCCACCTGCTCCTTATTTTTATCCGTCACCGCTATGTAATAAGGCATCTTGACCGTTAAGATTTCTTCACTAAGAAAAGGCATAAATTAGGGTCTCGTCCATCGAGGAGAGGGATATTTTGGCGTGGTAGTTTCACTGACTGAGGTAAACCCTATTTTCAGTGAGTGGACCAAATCCAAAAAAATACGATTTCAATGGCCGTCTTTCAAGTTTGTCATAAAAAGAGATCTACATACGTATTTGTATCGAAAAGCCTTGAGAGCGATACCTCCTCCACCCGCCCCCCCGTAGTGGAATAAGACCCCTAGATTCTTCAGAATCTTTGATCTGAATGGCAAGCACGGTTGGTGGGACTGGGGCGATCCGTAGATTATGTGGCGGCTCATTTTGCCCATGAGGAATTTTTGCGTTTTGTTCAGTTTTTTTTTGAGATTTCTTACTCAAGCCTTACTTTGCTATTTTCTACCAGCTTGGTTTTCTGAAGTTTTTCGCTGTTACATCAGTAAAATTTCTCGACATTTGTAGCTCTATGACGCTCCAAGGCGGATTGCCTCTTTTGGTCATTCCGTTACATAACTATTTTCCATCTTAATCTCTTAAGGCACGCTGGTGCGCAAAATCAATTTCCATTCCAAATCAATTAGACAGCTTTCATTCTAAACCAATTATGAGAGCTGAACTTGAACGCATTGTTTGTATTTGTTCATAGAGGGATAGGCGCTAGAGTACTGCGATACCACGTTAAAGGTTTGCAGCGGACAGACTCTATTATGGCCTTTTGATTCTAAAACCCTCATTCAATAAATGAAACAACTATAATTATATTTGACATGAAAATACGTTGAATCAACTAATCCGATATTATTATTATTATCTTGATTTAGGATGTTTACCCGAAATTCAATATTATTCTTCAAGCTTGTTTAAATTAATTTAAAGGGGGTAATGAGCAAAGAAGTCGTTTAGTCTCCGTTTCGCACGTGGCCCTTAGACGGAGACCAAACAAATGGTGTCTCCTCCCCCGTGCTCCTATCACTAAGGGAAGGGAGGGTAAAAGAGTTCAGCTGAAATTAATTTAGTTAAGCTGCATATTCAAATGCACGAATAGTGCGCCTTAGCAGTGCGCATCCCATGCACTGAAGAATTTTTACGCAAAACGTTCACCGTGAAATGGCTCTGCTCTGATCAGGGTCGCTAAAACTATTTTTTTCAAGTTCTCTATCCAAGACGTCGTTCTTGCGTGAGCTATTCTCTAGATAGTAGTTCTCGGAACCACGCGATCTGAACCTTTGCTATGAAGAGGCGGCGCCGTTCACATAAAAAGTAATGATAAATAAGTAAAAAAACGAGTATCCGGAAGCTAAGAAAACCATAACTCGATCAAATTTTCGCTGGTACTGTCAAAATGATAAATAAGGCCTCTTTTGTCTCTTGGAGTGCCGTCACTAGGAAACATTTCATCCCTTCTCGCTTATCCGAAGAAGGTCTCACTATCCTACTGCATCACAATCTATCGCTAAACACAGTCGTGACTCTCCGAAATCGGAAGCTCAAAATTCTTCCCTACGACACGTCATTTGACACGTGGCCACGAATACATTGTGCAATCCCTCCCCCCCCCTTGGCCCCGCCCAGGGTGCTTCAAACTGTCCACCAAGTTCGATTCCAGAATTTTGTTTCCTTTTGGACACTAGATTTAATGCATGTGATTTCACATGTTGCAGCTATTTACCAAACATGATATATTCATGAGGGGGTAGGAGGGAGACATTACAAGGAGCTTTCGCGCATAGCGTTTCGGGCCGATGAATTGTAGCGCTATTTAGGTTATTAATGTACTCTAGCCCTATTTAATTCACCATAAATAAATAAATTTTCCGCTTTTGAACTATAGTGCAAACAATCAATAAATACGCTACTTCAAAGCAAGCCTCTTTTTGAAAGCTATTATTGATTACTCGCTGTGAGTTAAATTGATCACATTACAATTAGGTGTTCTTTTCCGATGTGCATTCGCCAGATTATTGCTATGTCAGTTCGCTCTTTAATAAGAATTCTGTACCCTATCCCGAGACCGGCATAGTTATCAAAGATTTCTGACATTTTAGGATTATTAAATTATTAGTGGTTTAAATTTGCAGAAACAATTTTGTGGTGCTTCATATGTCGCCTGAATACGCACCTGTTGTGAAAGGAGCTCGTTTACCTCCCATTAAAACGGTGAGGGGTCGGAAGATCAGAGTCATTCTGTACCTGGCACCTGTTCGCGCCCTTTTTCGAGAACGAAGGGATTATTTATGGCCTCAGTACATAGTTTGCTTAGCAAGTCTTATGCTGAAATGTACTGCCTTGAAAAGAAAATCAAACGAAATCTGAACTACAGGGACAACCTTTGACCAGATGGGGTGTGGTCAAAACTCACGCAGTCGAGAGAGTGTTTGAGTTTCACGCTTCAAGTTTCACGCTATGTGGCAAAAAGTAGCATGGAAGCTCCCGCACTGCACGCTAGTTCGCTTAACTGGACCAAGATGGCTCGGCTGTGGACTTTTTCCTAGAATCCTGGCCTGAATCTTGAGTGCGCACCGGGTTTCAAATGTGGAATATGAAAAGTTAGTTAATTGCAGTTCACTAGTTTTTTAGTGACAGCGCTATCGCCTAAATTTCTCAGAAGTCTGGGAGATCAAGTGATGATGCCATCTTCTACAATCTTTTCCAATAGCATTACTGGGGAACTTAATACTTTTTACGGTGATTCCGAACTGGAAAAAGATGATATGGGATTTTCAAGAGCATCATTTCGTCTAATATTACTTGTATCACGCTAAAATAATCATATATTCTAAATAACATTAGCCCAGACACCCTAACGTCAATCCTTGCCCTAATTCTACATTCTGATTCATCAGCAACTATTCAAACATTCCTTCTATTATAGCTTCCATGGCCACACTTTGTTTTTTGGCTGATAATTTATTTACGCAATAAATTGAAGGCGTCAAAGCTTTGTGGTGGGAGGAGTCTATGGGGCATCGCACGCACACCTATTGGTGAGTTCCTCCCCTTCACTGACCAGGCCACCAATAAGGGGTGCGCATGTTGACAGGGACTCCGCCCACATCATTCCCTCTCCGTGTTCACCATCTTTATGCTAAAGACTTGAAGATATTCGATATCGGAAAGAAGCTAGCCATCGAATATCCGACGCTTTACGAGACGGTATCCTAGAAAAGGTCCTGAATGTACTGATGATCCTACTTGTTCATTTTCACGGTCAAGTTCAAGCGATTTTGCCCCTTTACAAAACCTTGGTTTCCCTACCAACCACTAGGCTAAAAGCTTCTGAAGGAGAAACTGATCTTCGAATATGGTCAGCGTGAACGATGCTTGTAACCACTGCGTTGCATTCTCCTTGAGCAATACACTATAGGATCGGGTTACAGAGCGTCTCCGTTGGCTCGATGGGATCCAAGCTTTTCACGTCTTTTTACGCTCGAATACGAGCTGCTCTTGTTTGATGGAAGAATCCTACAGCATTGCTGCAAAACGAGATTTGCTCAGTTTTTCTCGCATTTACTAACCCTTTACCTGGCTTTCTATCAGCCTTCTGTGAGGCGCTATGGCTCACAATTGCTGGTCTTCAGACACGAATATTCTTCCATTCATTTCGAAAGTGATCAAGCTCGATATGCTGTCAGTATTGTTTTCGGTGCATTGATTTGCTCGAGAGAAGTGTTCGTTTCTGCCGTGACCGGAACGCCAACGGGGCGTAGCGATCGGACGGACGGCATATTTCGCCTCGTCCGCATCGTTCCTTCCCTCGTGACTCATCGTATATCCTTTACGTCATTGATATACAATATACAAATCAAGGACACATACATATACGGTAACGAAGGCACTATAATTGATATTGTGATATCCACTACATTCATCGGGTTCAATCCCGATGGCGTCGAAACAGAATGGCAACAGTATCGCCGCTCCACGACCGCCATTTCGTCGACAAGGATCAAGCAGTGAGTTTTTGAAAAAAATTTTGTGAACCGTTTTCTCCCTTTTCTCGTTAACTGGTCATCTGACCTCCTTCGAGCTTTTATTATTATATCCGTGCTCATATATTCGACAGAGTCCGAAGACTACGGTATTCAAGGGAAGGTCGATGAAAGAGGGTTCTTTCTATCCAGGCATTCCTAAGGGAGCATCGGGAGGGTTTCTAATCCCGAACCATGAGTTTTCAAGGCTCATCTGTAAAGCGAGTCTAGAATATCACCCAAAAGCTTAGATTTGACCCTGACCACCTGACTTGCTTCGAGCGTGGCCTGACCTTTACATCCGGTTGGGTCCCTGACAGCTATGTATGTCGACGGCTTTCTCGTTCTGTGACTCCTAAGGTAAACTATTCTCAAAAAATATACCTTTTGTCTATTTTTCAATACCCTTTTGACATCATGGGCTTGTCCACTCCTACGCTTGCAGGTGGAACGCCTTCGAATTTTTTTAAGAGTTTTTTTCGGCATCAAAGAAATCTTGCTAGAGGTATCGCAAATTGCTGCAACGTGAAACGGGAAAAAATGTGTTGTGAGAACATCTTTCAACAATGTTGACCACAATCGCATTTTTTCTTCTGCTCCAGCTCTCTCCCTCGCTTCCTCGTTTCAGTTACGTTGTGCCGCGGAAATAACTTTTTAAACAATACTAGAAATGTCTTCTTTTTATAAGTCGAAATTTTTAGCTATTTTTCTCCACGCTATTCAAACCTACTTTTTATTTGTGCGTCTAGTAAAAAATTCCGCCTTTTCACAAAATTTTATTTTTGTTCTACTTTTGAAAGTTTTAGAGGGTTTAAAAACGATCATACGTTTTTTTCTCAGAGTGCCGCTGCGTAGTACTGCAAAAACTCTAAGGAATCTAGTTCGGATTCATTATTGATGTAAAATCCTACAGTATAGTTACGCGAGGAAGCGAAAACCCAGGTGTAAGCTGGTAAACCTTCATACTTTCACTCCTAATATGTTATCCAGTAACACGGGTTATGAGCTTGGCCCTATAGGTATTCCGGACAAATCGATAGCAAGTGAGTGTAATGCCTCCTCGATCGCTTAGTAATTTACACATCGGCACAGGAAAAAACTTGGACCTCTTCTTACTTGCCCCAACTAATAGCTAGCTCAAAAATCATAACCATCATGTAAATGGCTGAACACTGACGGATATTTAGTTGTTGTAAGTATTACTTTGACTTATTTTAACACACAACGGACTGCCCTTGTGCGCTATCCCGAGCCTTTCCTCATATTTTCTCATAACAGCCATTACTCCCTCGATATTTCATTATTGATGACAAAAGTATTGTTTTTTTCATATTCTATAATGTGAAGAAGATAATATTTTTTTGAACAAGAAATGCCAAAAACAAGCGAAACAAGCACCCCGCCCAACTCCCTCCTGGATGCTCGTGGGCATCCCCATGTGATACACGCGGAGCGTTATGCTTATAAGAGCTGTTTGTGAGTTTACTGCTAAAAACTCCGTATTCACCGGGATCGACTATAAGTACTGGAATAGTGGCAGTTATGGCCAATATAACAGAGAGGGTGAAAATAGCCTATCTGTGACTGGTTGGGTCAGAAATCTGGGCTTTCTTGGTCATGTAAACTAGTGTATGAACACTGGAAAAATTTGACTTGTTTGTTTGTTTATTACTACTTTTGGCCGAAGTCCGCCTTGCGGATGTTCCACAAGAATGCTGGGTTGTGAAACTGAAAAAAAAATTATTCGAAATTATCAGGTGATCAACTTCAAACTGCTGATCAAATTACCCTTTTCGAATTTCTCCCAGAGAATCTTTTAAATTTATTCACAGAAGCACAGCTTCCAATCCCGCAGTTACGAACTAACCAGAAGAGTTAACCAGTCTTTATTTTGACAAAAAAAACCCTTGTGAGTAAGTGTTCAAAATTGGGGGGAGGGGTTATGAAAATAGACCCCAGGATGTCATTTGATCAGTACACATCACTTTACTACGTAGTTTTGTTTCCATTGATAGTACCCGTTCAGCAGTTTGCAGCATTGTCTGTTAGCCCTTGGTAAACATTATCCGTTGATCCACTGAAATTGATTTATCTGCGGCAGATCCCATATCAACTTCATGAGCTTACCCCCGATACTCTGATACCTCCGGAGTAAGCATACATTTTTATCATAATCTACTGGTAAATGCGCAGGTAAGGTAAAAAAAAGAATAATTTTTGAAGAGCTTATGCATTTATTATACAAAGAAAGCTATCTGGTATCTATTTTTTTAAAATTGTAATTTGGATTATTTGTCTGCATAGAGGTCCCTTTGCTTGATTGTCTTATTGTTGCATACTATTGATTAACTACATATGTCTAGTTATTTGTTTATTAACAATTGGTTTTCCACTACTTCAAGCTGTTTTGAACTTCAATTTTTTGTTTGCGTTATATGGCGTGTTTTCGAGATTAATTGGTAGTTTAAACAATAAGGTGGCTCACATCAAATGAGCCTGTGAGTCGCGCCGTACTTTCCACTTCCACTAGAAATCGTAGAGGTTTTAGAACAGATATCCCGCCGGTACAATGCCTCGAGGGGTCCCACCGATGCTCAATTTAGTACTATCGGCCTACCAGACGAAGCTTTTGCAGATCGCTATTCATCGGAGCAACTGCAGATTCGATTGGGATCGATCCAGTACGTACCCCTGCTGTGACTTGCCATAACTTCATGGGGGTATCCACAGCTGGAGACAATTACGTGACGCGTGCAATAATCAACCAATACGCAGTTATACGAGAGTTTGCGTTTGCATATAGGTAGTTGTGACAGTTGCTTTCGGTGATATACCCGCGACAGCAGCCCAAGCTTATTGATCCGCTCGATTTCCTTGCAAATCCGAAGGGGTTCTAGTAAAAAATGTTGCTATAAAGATCGGTTGGTTTCGTACGAAAAAAATATCATGACGTTTTGGAGAACCCAATTATTCAGTTTTCATTTTTTAGTGAGGAAAAAATGGCCTCTCTTTTAAAATAACATGCATGAAGAAGTCACTCAAATAATAATGCTCAAAAATTGCTGTTTCAGTCGGCGCTGGGCCTCACCCAATGGCTGTGGCGCTTGCTCCCGTGCATAGAATTGATTATAGTGTAACAAAGGTAATTTTACAGGTTTAAATATGTTTAAACAAATCCTCGTTAAAATCGTACACTGCCCGTGAATTAACATGAGTGTTCAGGGAGGCGCACGTACCTGGGCAGTTCTACTCGTCTTTCTATTCTTATGCTCTGGTCTGTATACGATATTCTCGTCCAAAGATCTTTCAGAAGGAGTCGATAGTACGTTTTTTTACGTTCGCTACGCTTTTTTTTCAATCAAGTACTTATATTTGTAGGTGCTAACGCAATATACGGGGGTGTTGTGATGCAATGCATTTGAAAGCGCGTGAAACACGTATTTTTTGTTGGAAACGGGACTAAGCCTCAGGCGGAATAGGGGAGACTCTAAGGTGCGTGTGGCGTTTTCATTTTCCCATGAGCACCTGCCTCCTCCTAGCAGGGTCGGTCCTATCGTTGTTACTTTTTGAAAAATTTTTACGACCCCCCTCCCCCAAGGTGGACTTGGTACGTGGACTTGGTACGACCCCCTTTTCGACACCTCGACCACCATATTCCTCTCTATAGTATTTAATTCTGGTACCACTCAACCCACCAAACTCCGCCCACTTTTTCCTCCAAAAATGCCGTCGAGCGGGGGGGGGTATATAGCACTCTGAAACAGTAAAAATTTACCTAAATTCCCTAAATTTCCACCATTTACTCTTCCTTTTACCCACTTTTACCCATCTTCTAGGGGGGTATATACACGCGCTGAAACGGCGAATTTTTCTCCCGCGCGCTCCCAACTCCCAACCTATACGACCCCCCCCCTCCTACAAACTCAACCAGGTACGACCCCCCGTTGTTACTAGTAACAACGTAGGGTTGACCCTTCCTCCTAGGCCTTGTCCTAGAGGGATGCCCCCGTATAGTGCGATAGCGCCTATTTCTACTTATACCATTATGATTCCCTATTCTCCACTTGACTCATGACCCCTCTTCTTGGAAGTACTATGAACTGTAGAGTCATGTTACCATACATACCACTCGGCCGATCCTGGTGAAACGAAAAAGTGTGGTTAGCCTGGACGTTACTCGGTCTGGGCTATGCTCACCGTACTCCGCCTGTGGTAAGCGGCGCCAGGCCAGTTACCACTACAGCTGCCCCATTAAATACACACTAACCATGACAATACTTAAGCTGAACAGGTTGGCGAGTAAGAGATTCTAACAACACGAATAACAAACAAAACAAACAAAAACTCAATAATGACTAAACGACACCAGGAAATGAGCCTACAGATAAATAATAAATAATTAAATAATAAGTAAATAAAAGAATATATGATGCAGATATAGTCGAACCATTCGAGGTTCAAGTAAAGGGTAGTGATGAGGTGATTTTTGGTCCTAGTTTCACATAGGCTATGTCCAAATGTATTTAATGGGGCAGCTGTAGTGGTAACTGGCCTGGCGCCGCTTACCACAGGCGGAGTACGTTGAGCATAGCCCAGACCGAGTAACGTCCAGGCTAACCACACTTTTTCGTTTCACCAGGATCGGCCGATGGTAAAAGAATAAAAGGATAAAGCATTTGATCAATCCCTTTTTGGGATGCGGCACGCATTCTACTTCCATTTGTACATTCGTAGTGGTTTGAATGCGATGTGGCCTATACAATGACTTGCGGGGGCCAGCCGATGTACAAGTCAGTGTTTTTATCCTCCCAGACAAGTCTGGTACCAATTAACCGACCCCGGAGGGATGGAAGGCTTGGTTGGCCCGGGCGACTCACGACCCAGGATTTGATCCCCGGACCGCTCGCGTGGTAAGCGCGCCACTTGTCACTACACCACTTCCGCCCCTACAGTGTATATGGGTAACATACTTATAGTTCATAGTACTTCCAAGAAGAGGAGTCATTAGTGAAGTGGAGAATAAGGAATTGTAATGGTATAAGTAGAAATAGGCGCTATCGCACTATACGGAGGCATCCTCTAAGACTAAGCCTAGGAGGAGGCAGGAGCTCATGGGAAAATGAAAACGGCACACGCACTTTAGAGTCTCCCTTATTCCGCCTAAGGCCGATGTCAGACTTTGCGAATCGCGCGATTCGCTAGCGTCTGCGGTCGCGTCGCGGCCAGTGAATCACTCAATTGGCTGGTACCGCAACGCGACCGCGGACGCTAGCGAATCGCGCGATTCGCAAAGTCTGACATCGGCCTAAGGCTTAGTCCCGGTTTCCAACAAAAAATACGTGTTTCACGCGCTTTCAAATGCATTGCATCACAACACCCTCCGTATATTGCGTTAACACCTACAAATATAAGTACTTGATTGAAAAAAAAGCGTAGCGAACGTAAAAAAAACGTACTATCGACTCCTTCTGAAAGATCTTTGGACGAGAATATCGTATACAGACCAGAGCATAAGAATAGAAAGACGAGTAGAACTGCCCAGGTACGTGCGCCTCCCTGAACACTCATGTTAATTCACGGGCAGTGTACGATTTTAACGAGGATTTGTTTAAACATATTTAAACCTGTAAAATTACCTTTGTTACACTATAATCAATTCTATGCACGGGAGCAAGCGCCACAGCCATTGGGTGAGGCCCAGCGCGACTGAAACAGCAATTTTTGAGCATTATTATTT